CGATGGTGTAATATTTCAACATTTTATTCTGATTATGCCTCTTTATATCTTTGTATCCAACGTATACTTTATCGCTCAATTGATCACCATGTACATGGAGGTTTTTTTTTATTTACTCTCCGATTTGCACATTTATTTATTCAATAAATCTTTGACTCTGTCCAAAAAGCGTATCTAAATAGCATAACAGCTATTTATGCATATTCTACATGTATACGTCTATTTCGAAGTCGTCTTTTATTTCTGCTTGAATAGACAAACAAGCCCTCCTGAAAATAATGTCCCAGTCATCTTCCTTTGTCGGAGAGCCACTTCCTCAAACTTCGTTAACACGTGATGTCAGCACTTTTCAGCGAATTTTCAAGTCTTTTGAAAACGGTCTAACCTCCGCAAAGCTCATTATCAAGATATCAAATTTTCTTCTAGTGTAGCAATGAGATTGATAATTGGAGAGAAACGCTCGAATAAACGTTGCGAAGCTGATCGTTGGCTGAAGAGAAAAGAAACTAGGAGAATAAGAGAGATAAAGAGCGTCTACATCAGCCTAGCAAAATAAACAAAAAATTAGGAAAGAAAAAGAAGAGATGAAGAAAGCGGAAACGGAAGTATGAAAAAGACGATGGGAGGTAAATTGTGAAAACAAAAATCAGACAAAAAGTTACAAATCAAGGAAAATATAAGCAAAATCATTTATAATCAAGAAAGAAGTGATCAGAAAAAATGCGAGAAGAACAAAACAAAACATAGCAAAAGAAAACATAAAAAAATGTATCGAGACGAAGGGATAAAGAAAGAAACGAAATGGCGCTGGAGCAAGATAAAGGGAATGTAAAGACAGATATATGTCAAATGAATCAAAATAAATATAATACTAAAGTTAAAATAGCTGAAAAGTGTTTTATTAGAGGTTGGAAAATGTGACACCTAAATCTGTACAGGCATTGGTGATTTGATAAGCGTAGCTTAGATATGCCACAGGGCCTAAAATACGGAGCACCCAGTGAGTATCGAATTTACTTTTCAATTAATCTCGCGGGACAAGCTTGCTTACCATACGTCGAAGTACCTAGCATAGATCAGATGTGGCATAAAGCCGAATGTATGAAGCCCCGGGCGAGGATCGAACTCAGTACTCAATTCTAATTGATATAGCGAGACAAACTTGCTAAACATTACACCACATCGAAGTGCCACTGATAAGCAAATATAGAGATTTACTAAGCATTTGAAAAGCTAAACCCAAGTACTAAAAAAACACAAAAAACAAACAGGAAAATTTCATTAGAAAGAAAGAAAAGATTGCTGAACTGTTATGTAATATCAAGCTTCTTGCTTGGCAATGAGCTTGGACAATCTTCACACAGATAAAAGGAAAACTAGAAGTAACAGAAATGTATTTCTACAGAAGGATACTAAGAATACAATGGACGGCGTGTTAATGGAAACAGAAACAAAAAGGACACGCATACTTAAGAAGGGACAGCTGACATTTCTTGAACACATATTGAGGAAGAAGGGTTTGAAGAATTTGACACGGGACATTTTCCCCTTGGCACTGCTGTCATTGTAAATACGTTCACTTCTTGGTAATGTTTATTCTTTTTAAAAGCGATGATGAGAATCGTAATAAAACCTAAACATACAAAAGTGAATTCATATATTTTCTTTTTTCTTGAGAATTGACAACAAAAATAATAAGCACTGTATATTTAGTATTTTGTTGATTGGAATAGTTTGCAAAACATCGGTTAATTGCAACTTTATTCGAACTTTATAAAATGGTAACTAATAAGGATTTCCTTAAAGTTGGTTCACATATTTTAATAATTTATTAAATGTTTATAACTTTACGGATAAAAAATTGTTTTCACGTTTATTTCTTTATAAATTTGTAAATCTTACTTATTATAAAACGCAGATTGCGTGTGTGTGTTTGTGTGTGTGTGTGTGTGTTTGTGTGTGTGTGTCTGTAACGTTTATATATTGGATCGGATTTCCTACATTTTTCAACCGATTTCAACAAAACTTCACAGGACTACATAAAATTACCTTGTTGTGGTTGTAACAGCGCCAAAAATGGGAAAAATATAATTGTTTTTGCACAAAATCAATTTGAAAACACGATTAAAAGACATCGTGAAAATGGAAGGGGGACAACTCACATCAGGTTGTTTGTGTGTGTGTGGATTCCTTTAAATATGGGAGCGGATTTCCTATATTTTTCAGCCGATAAAACAAAACTTCACTTTTTTTTTTGGCAGGTAGTGTTTCTTAATCTCTCGCACACTTTTTTCTTTATTTTTAACATTCAGAATGATTTAAAAATTCCATTTACAAGACAATTATTTATAATAAAATTCTATTCAATCGGAAGACTCATAACGATTGAAAACAATGTTTTTGTTTGAGTTTGGGTTTGACCAATTCGTAAAAAATAAAAAACTAATTAAACACATTAATTAAAACATGCGTGTCCGTCAACCTTAAACAATAATCTAACGATCTCTACTGATTGTACGAATACAAACAAATTCTTTATCTTTAGGGAAAGATAATGAAATCTAAACATACACAAGTCCTAACTAAAAATAATAACCGGAGCGGGAAACTACTTTAAATACACATTCTGTCCAATTTTTTTACTGTATTCAATAAGTAAAAATCATAAATTGTAAAAGATTATTATTACAGAAAGGCTACTAAATGAATAAGATTTGTTAGATCATAATTAACAAACCCAAATAAAGTTAATATTTTTTGTATTAGAAACAACGAGTGGAAAATATATTCAAATCAGAATTCTAATTATGAATCACCACAAGCAAAATATGCAATTTTTTTTACTGTATTCAATAAGTAAAAATCATAAATTGTAAAACTAAAAGATTACAGAAAGGCTACCTACATTTTTCAACCGATTTCAACAAAACTTCACTTTGGGGGGGGGATGTAGTGTTTCTTATTGTCTTGCACACTTTTTTCTTTATTTTTACATTCAGAATGCTTTAAAAATTCCATTTACAAGACAATTTTTTATAATAAAATTCTATTCAATCGGTAGAGACTCATAACGATTGAAAACAATGTTTTTGTTTGAGTTTGGGTTTGACCAATTCGTTAAAAAAAAAAAAAAACTAATTAAGACATGCGTGTCCGTCAACCTTAAACAATAATCTTTGTTAATTTTATTTTTTCAGTCTTCATGATGGGGATACTTGATCTATCTCTTACTGTTATATCTCCGGGCAACGCCGGGCTCTACTGCTAGTGAAAAATAGTGTATTGCATTAGTTTTAATTATATTAGTTTTTAGAATGCTGTAAATATAAAATTATTCTTGTAAATAAACAATCTAATGAATAAATAGTGTTTAATATTTTTCTGGTAAATTCTCAAGAACAAAAACATTATTTTATATTATTCGGACTGTTGTCCTCATTTTTATTGTCATATTCACAACGTTTTGGTCGTTGTACGTTCCGGCCTTGCAATTTCGAACTGTACTGGCAGATTGTTTTACTTCCACAAGCCAAGCCTCTCCAGGATGTCTCAGTTATCTCCCTTTAACATTACTCTCCATGTTTTTGTCAACCACTGCAGTAGCTAGAGAATAGACTCACAACTCTTTAGGTAAAGTACACACAGTCCTTAGTCATGTTCTCCATGAACATGACTTCGGGAATATGACAATAAAGATGATGACAACTGTCCGAACAATGTAAATAATGTAAATAAATTCGCTTTCATCATATGTTTAGCTTTCAGTACAATTTTAATCATCACTCTTTAAAGCAACAAAAATTGCCGAGGAGTGAAGTTAGTTAAAATAATAGCGGTGTCAATGGAAAAACTGTCCTGTTCAGGTTTTTTGCCAGCACAAAAGTCCAAGTTTGCCGATTCCCGTATGATTTCTTTGATTCCCAGTGTGTTACTGTGCAAAAAAGTCTGTTTCTTAAATGATTATATTTATTTTCAATCCCATGTTCCTTCTGGACGTAAGCAAAAATGTCTTTCAACTAATTTGTTTTCTTTAATATCTGTATACTCCGATGACCTCTTAGGAAAGATAGTGAAGTGGTCTCTCAGTACCTACTCTACAGGGTGGAATTCAGATTTTACCCTTCTCCTAGACTTGTTACAATGCAAAAACTACAGGAGTCAGTCTACTCTGCTATTTAACCCTTAGTTGGAGAGTATTTTTTGAAAGCGAATTCAGCAGCCGTGACTAGGATTTGAAATCGGCTCAGCGATTCCACATACAGCGTTGATGATCGTTACGGTACCAACATATTCCTTAATAGGATACTTCATTTAAAAGAAAATAGAAATGATTAAATCATTTTTAAACTTCCCCTATCGTTTGGTGTCAATGAGAATGTGTTCTTTTTTTACTATTTTAGTTTTTTTTTCTGTCTTTAAAATTTAGTCTGTTAAGTTCTGACTCAATTTCTTGGATGAGGGATGATCATCATTTACATTATTATCCTCATCTTTGTTGTTTTTGTTACAATGTTTCTACCGCTGTTCTCTTCGCCCTTCATCAGTTTTTTTTTTTTTTTTGATCCTGTTTACCGTTTGTGTTGAACCTTTTTTTTTTCTTCTTTATTTTCAACTTAGTAACTTGAATACTGAGCATTTGGGACATTTAATATTTTCTAATCTTCGCCTTTTCAACCTGTTCTCCTTCTGATCATACCTTCTCCTCCTTTGTTTCTTTTCACTTCTTTTTATTCTTAATCAGCCATAACATTCCTATGTTAGGAAGATGCATGCCTTCCCGAAATCTTTCACTTCGGCGCTGAATGGGAAAATATTCTACCGCGTTGACCCAATACGTGTTTAGAACGTTTACAGCACTTGGTATCCCAGGTGGTCACCCATCTAGCTATTGACCAAGTCACCAAGCTCAACGTTTCTTAACTTCGGTGATCGGACAAGAATCGTTGTTTGAACGTGATATGGCCATAAGCAAATCTGTTTATAACTTCCTCCTTAAATTTATGTCCTTCTTCCATTCTTCCTCTTCTTATATCAATCCTTCTTCTTCCCTTTTCTTTTTTTATCTCTATCTCATACTTGAATCTGCTCATTTCTTCTTCTTCTTCTTCTTCTTCTTCTTCTTCTTCTTCTTCTTCTTCTTCTTCTTCCCTCTCCTTTTGCATCAAACCCTCTTCCCTTTTCTTTTTTATCTCTTTATACTGTATCTTTCATTTCCTCTTGTATCTCTCCATCTTCCTCTTCTTCTTCTCTTTCCTCTTGTAACACGTCTTCTTCCCTTTTTATCTCTTCTTCTATCCCACACTTTTATCTCTCCACCTCCTCCTCCTAATCCTTCTTCTTCTTCTTCTTCTTCTTCTTCTTCTTCTTCTTCTTCTTCTTCTTCTCTTTCCTATTGTAACACGGTTTATTCTTCCTTTTCCCTTTTATCTCTTCTTCTATCTCATACTTGTATCTGCTCATTTCCTCTTGTAGTTCTCCTTCTCTTTTTCTTTTTCTTCTTCTTGATTTTCTTCTTCTTCTTCTTCTTGTAACCCGCCTACTTCTCCCCTTTCCTTTTGTATCTTCTTCTTGGATTTTATCTTTCATTCTCCCCCCCGTCTTACTCCTTCCTTCTTGCATCTCTCCATTTCCTCTTGTATCTCACTTATTTTTTTTTCTTCTACATTTTATATCACTCCTTCTTACCTTTACTCTTCTATCACTCCTCCTATCTCCGTTTCCTTTTATGTCACTCTTTCTTCTTTCTTTTTCTCCTGTATCTCTCCTCCATCTTCCTTCTTCTATCTCTCCATTTCCTCTTATTTAAATTATTTTAATAAAAAACTTTTCTTTTTACCTTAATTTTCTGTTGTTTCTTTTTATTTAAATCGCGTCCCAACTTCGCCCATCGTAGATTTTGGGTGATGATTTTCTCTGCAGAAAACCATACCCTGTATACTTGGACGCTCAGTGTAACATTGTCTTCCGGAAGTAACTTTTTCATATTTCTACTCAACAGAGCTAAGCAAATTTTCATATATATATATATATATATATATATATATATATATATATATATATATATATATATATATATATATATATATATATATATATATATATTTCATCTCTTAAGTACTTGTTCCTCTTACGTTCATTCAACTTCATTCCGTAACACTGTAACTTTGAGAGGCCTTGTATTAGGGAAAATTAGTAAAATAAATAAATAAATAAAATAAATAAATAAAAACGGTTGGGGTGCCATTTCTTACTTAAACGCTTTATTTTGTTCTTTCTTTTGTTCTTGTGTTTCCACTTCCGGTCTCAATCTTTCCATGTATTTTTTCTATTCATACATATTTTCTCTTCTTTTTTTTTCTTTTATTCAACTTCTATTTTCTTCTTTTCTCTAATTCTCATTACTTATTTCTCTAACATACTCTCCTTACCGGACTGTTTCTAATTCTCTCGCTCTCTCTCTCTCTCTCTCTCTCTCTCTCTCTCTTTCTTTCTCACTCACTCACTCTCGCTGTGACTTTTTCTGTCTCTTTTTTTTTTCTCTCGACAGTCTCTTCCACTGTCAGTTTTACTATCTCTGCTTCTCTCTCCCCACGGTATTTCACATTGCTCCAGGCTGAACTAAATGTCATCTTACTGCATGGATAGAAACACCTTCAATAGGTCAACGACACAAAATTCAGTTTCAAAATGGTCGTCTCCCTCTTCTGCAATGTCAAGATGTTTGGTTGCTTAAAGTCAAGTTTTGCCCAGTTGGCCCCTAGATCATTCTAAATGTGGGGAGGTAAAGATGACGAAAGAGAAGCAGGCTAAGTTGAATGTCACTGCCTTGTTACCTGCCTGACTTGGCCCGAATCGAATCTCCGTGGTACTGTATTTGTTTACTCATTATATAAACATTTATTCTTCGACGCGAGATTCTCGAGGTTTTTATGTTAATCACGCGTGATTTAGGTTTTATCAAATCGCATTGCCAAGAGGCTTTGGCGTTGAAATGCCTTTAAGTGTTGTTAAATAATGTCCAGTCGTGGAAACACATTTCTCTACAGAAATGTGAGAAATTAAGGAAAATGTACCGGTATGTAAGTTTATTCAAACATGTAGATATATGCTTACACATACTAATATATATATATATATATATATATATATATATATATATATATATATATATATATATATATATACTGTACTTACATTTACGCAAAATGTAAAGTAGGATTCTTCTCCCGCGCACACATACATACACATACACACGCCTATCTTGAAAAAATAAAAATAAAGATGTACCGTGTCCTGTCAAGATCAGTGTGAACATGGTCCTCCACAACTTACATTTCATTTTGTATTACGCCTTCCATTTTTCATGCATCTCTCCGCCGTTTTCTCTCTTCCTTATTGTATCTCCATTTCCTCTTCAATCTTTTCTTCTTCTTCTTCTTCTTCTTCTTCTTCTTCTTCTTCTTCTTCTTCTTCTTCTTCTTCTTCTATGACTGCTTCTTTGTCCCTTTCCTAATGCTTTAAGCAATGTTTTGCTTTTTACTGCCCATTTCAGTCCCTATTCCGTCATCCATTTACACGGGTTCGTTTGGTAGGTTACTCAAAATTTCATTAAGTCCTCTGAGTGTCAAGCTATCCAAGCCCTCTTTCCTCACTAACTCTAGTAGAAACCGCTTCTTTCTAATTCTAAATAAAAATAGTTTTGTTCCGATTTTCCTTAAAACTTTCTCGCTTCTGACCACATTACAATCAGCATCGTTTTTCAGAATGATATCTCTGTTTTATCAAATCACCTCTTCATCTATCAGTAATTGATTGATTGAATTCTTTTTTTTTACGGCTTATCAACCATATCTACGTTATAAAGCTGAAGCATATTCCTGATTGTAGAAGGTTGCTTACGTGTTCCCAAGACATCTGTAAGGAAATAGCTCTGCATTCACTAACATATTGGGGGATTCGTATTACGTTGATTGATTGATTGATTTCTTTAACAGCATATCAATTCCTTCATGGGTCATTTAATGCTAAAATTTAATTTTATTCGGAGCTTTGAAGTAATAAAAACATTATATAGGTTATTCTGCTTTCACAATTGAATACATGGTAGATGATACTCAGCTTTTGTGCATATACAGGGCTCTTTGGACTAACGGCAATTTTCTTCTTCTTCTTCATCATCATCCTCCTCCTCATCATCATCATTGCCACATCCTATCACCCTAACATGCTCATTCTTTTTTTTATATCCTTTTATTTCCTTGATTTTTCCGCCACACAGTGGCACATAGAAGAAGAAGAATGAAGAAGAACGAGCATATGCAAGATGTTGGCAGAACAGGGATTACAAGAAGATAAAAATATACAATTTATTAAGAGCTACAAATGATAGGAAATTGTGGAGGGCCATGATCGTCAACATTTTGAAAGGCCACGGCACATAGAAGACGTAGAAAGAGTTTGTGGCAATGGATGTAAGAACAGGATTTAGGAGAGATAACAAAAAGGCAAAATTTATGAAGAGCTACCTAAGGACAGAAAATTGTGGCGAGCCATGATCGCTAACGTCCTGAAGTGACATGGCACATAGAAGAAGAAGAAGAAGAAGAAGAAGAAGAAGAAGAAGAAGAAGAAGAAGAAGTTAGTAATTAGAGGACAATTTAGCATTTTCAATTAAGCGAACATTTTTCATGCTTGATTTTACGAGCAAATACTTTTCGAGATAGGAAAACTTTATCATGTAAAAAAGGATACAAAGAAATATTGATAAATCTGACAAATACCTTGAAGGGATAGAAATATTCTTCTCTCATTCAATGATGAGAATACCATGGACATAACATGTCTCAAACTAGAAAATCTTTAAGGAGGAACAACAAATTACAACCACTCCTCACCCAACGACTGTTTTCTGTTCCAAAGATCAGGTCGCTAAACAAGTTGTTTGCTAAGTAACAAGTTGTACCTGGCCGCTATTTTAGGCTTTAATATCCGTGTAGTGAATGACTAAGAGTAGCTATGATGTAGCACAAGGCCGAAAGTATGAGGCACCCAGTGAGGATATAACTCACTATTCAGTCGTAAGTGATCTAGCGAGACAAGCTTGCTGGGCATTACACCACATCGAAGGGCTTCCTCTATTTTCTAAGCTTAACTTAGCTGAAAGTATGGGGCACCCAGTGATGATCTAACTCACTATTCGGTTGCAATTGATCAATTGAGACATGTTCGCTAACCATTACACAACGTTAAAGTGCCTATTCTATTTACTAAGCGTTGCTTAGATGGGGCACACAGCCGAAATTATGGGGCACCCAGTGAGGATCGAACTCACTATTCAGTTGTAATTGAGACAAGCTTGCTAATCTTCACACCACTTACACCACGTTAAAATGCCCGGCATATTACCCGGATAATAAGTTTGTGTCAACCAGCTTCAAATAGACTTAATGTAATTTTTTTCATCATTTTTACATTTCTAATTCATTTTTAAATGATTTTATACTGTACAGTAGTTTATTGAAATTAGTAGGTTATTGAAAAATAAACGTAATAAACAAATACGAAAAGCAACTCTATATTCTATACGTTACGTCGGTGTGTAAAGGTCAATTGCTTATTTTTTTACTTAATTCATTTTTTTTTACTCTGATACGTTTTGAATTTTATAAGATTTTACTGATGGTTTATTAATATTTTGTACTTTTGTACTCAGCACATTTCTCCAACTTATATATATATATATATATATATATATATATATATATATATATATATAGTTAGCCACAGACAGTTAGTTTGACTAGACATCCGATTGCATAAAGCCGGGATCGAAACCCGACCCGACTAATTCGGCAACAGTTGGAGATTTCTTCATTCTTTCCGAGTGGTTTCGGTTATACATTTAGCCATTTTCAAGTTTGAAATATATTAAATGTTAACAAGAAATTGATTATTGTATGTATATATTTATATAATGTTTTAATTTTAAAAACACGGTCGTATATATATATATATATATATATATATATATATATATATATATATATATATATATATATATATAATTATTTATTTGAAAATATGATTCAACACGCTACATAAGAGCTCTCATGTTTCAAAACAAGAGCCGAAAACTACAATATAATTATTTGAATTAAATTGAATTAAAGTACTAAGCACTGTTCCATCTTCAATTTTCGCCGTTACCATAGAAATTTTGATTTCAATAATGAATATACTTATAAAACGCGTAAATTTCTGAAGTAAGTTATTCCAAAAAAATTTCGCTTGAAGATGGAACAGAGCTTAGTACTTTAATTCAATTTAATTCAAATAATTATATTGAAGTTTTCGGCTTTGTTTTGAAACATGAGAACTCTTATGTAGCATTGGAATCATATTTTTAAATAAATAATTATATTTATGCTCTACTTTTGTATCGAGCACTATTTTTTTAAAAACAATAACAAAAATGCTAAATAACTTTGAATTATTTACCTAACGAATTCTTTTTTTTTTTTTACTATATATT